AACTACCTGAGCCATTACTAACTTTTGAGTGTTACGATCATATCCTTGGAATCACCAGTGAGTATAAATCAGTTTTAGGAATTTGTAGAACAAGTTGAACTGGACCTGGCAAAACAAACTGCTGTTTGCTAACCATGACACAGTCGTGGCTATATATAATTAGTCCTTTACTGCAGCCATTAATGGACACCCTCATAACCTGTACCAGAGCAAGGCTGAGAGTCCATTCAGTAGTGGTGCAAGTATCTGGTCAGGATTTTAAAACATGGGAATTTGAAGTTCTGCTGCTTTATTAAGCTTCGTTGGCTGTTTTAGAAGTCTGACAGGTATCTCTATACTGGATATATAAGGGGCAAATTTTGCAACCACCACTACTTCTTTTTTCTTTCTTTTTTTTGGGGTTTAGCCTTTACTGTGAAAGTACAAGCATGTTATATGGTTAGATTAATGCTAGTGCAGACACTACAGATTACATTGTAAATATGATGGAAGAGAAGATACAGAATACCTATTTGTGTTATATCCCCTGTGTATTTCTGCTGCCTGATATCAGTGTCCACTCTAAGTAATTTTCACTGTTTGTGCATTCAGAGGGCCTTAAGAACAAGTAGTCCTGTGACCAGCAGAACTAACAAAGTCCAGTTTCCTGTGGATTTGCATCTCAAACACAAGCTCCTTTTTGGCTTCTCTAATGTCTAATGAGACTTGATGGCACACTGCAGTATTTTACCAAGTGGAGACACCGTTAGGATTTGTCTTCTCTACCCAGCCATCTAATTTCACAAAATGTGTAGGGATATAATACTTCTACGTTATCTACTCCTCTCTCAAATCTGGTCTAATTGTCCCAGCAGTTAAAAAGTAATCAATGGGGACTAAAAGAGAGGTGACAGCACAAATCCAGAAGTCCAGTCTCTGTAGAAAAGCAACTTGAAAATCAGGCCTTTGAACGCTATTCTCCTCTCTTTTTTTTCACCAAATTCTCCATCCCAGCAGTCTGGGGAGAATGAAATCTTGCTTTTTACATACACAAAAATGTTCCAGTTTTGAAATTCATTTTCTTACGGCCTTGGCAGGGAAGAATTTTCAGCCTTACAGAGAACTATAAAGTTCTTTTTTGCCAAACAACAGGACGTGCACACAACAGACTTGGTATGTTATGTCTATCATTTATATGAATATTAGTGCCATTTTGGACACTACTTTGTCTAGTAGGAGTTACAGAAGCAAAGAAGTAAGTACACACACAGAAATTAGAAATTTGGTAAGTGTGTACAAAATTTAAAAAAAAAGAAGTTAATGTACCAAGATCCTGACCTCTCTTACCAAATTTAGTTGAAATTACCCAAAAGGTTCAAGTGTTATTGCAAGCAAATTCAGGTGCATGCACAGACATACAAAGCATTTTCTCTTAAGTTTTGGGTTTTTATTCAACTAAACTGAAATTGTTCCAGCACAGTTATCCTTGTGTATGGAAGGTGACACCTGCATCAGAAATGAGTGGGAAGTGTTCTGCTCCGCTGTGGCACCTAGTAGTAATTTTGGACAGGACCACCAAGACAAACTCTGATTTTCCCATGAGGAGGGAAGACATTGATTACCTAAAGATAACACAGAATCACAGAATGGTTTAGGTTGGAAGGGACCTCCGGAGATCATCTAGTCCAACCTCCCTGCTTCAGGAGGGTCCTCTGGAGGACATTTCCCAGAATCGCATCCAGACGGGTTTTGAATATCTCCAGCAAAGGAGACTCCACAACCTCTCTGGACAACCTGTTCTAGGGCTCTGTCACCTTCATAGCCAAGTTTTTCCTTATGTTCAAACAGAACTTCCTATGTTTCAGTTTCTGCCCATTGCCTCTTGTCCTGTCACTGGGCACCTCGGGGAAGAGTCTGGCCCCATCCCCTCGACACCCTCCCTTCAGATACTTGTAGACATTGATGAGATCCCATCTCAGCCTTCTCCTCTCCAGCACAAACAGGCCCAGCTCCCTCAACCTTTCTTCATAGGAAAGATGCTCCAGTCCCCTCATCATCCTTGTAGCCCTCCGCTGGACTCTCTCCAGTAGGGCCATGTCTCTCTTGTACTGGGGAGCCCAGAACTGGACAAGACTGGACAATACATTGAACAAGATTGGACCCAGTACTGACTCCTGGGGGACACCGCTAGCTAAAGGCCTCCGACTAGACTCTGCGCCTCTGAGCTCTGCCATCCAGCCAGTTCTCAGTCCACCTCACTGTCCAAAAATTTTAATCATGTGGCCTTTTTCAGGGACTGAAAGTTTTTAGTACAGGCTGGGCAACCCCATGTAGTCTGGAATACCTGAGATTTAGTATACAGTACTTGTAAAGACTGGTGTTCTGCCATCCAGGCTACAGTCAAGTGAGCAGGGAACTAGTGGGGCTCCAGTAACAAGTCACAAGCACACGTTGTTCCAACACCTGCTTTTTGAGGAAAGCGTATCTTAATGGAGTGCAGTTTCCTAAAGAGTCTGGTAGCATGCTTCTGATAACCATGAGGTGATGCTGTTGCAAAGGGTAGGTTATCATCAGTGTCATGCCTGTTGCTGTTGAAGTAGATGACTAAGATGATTCAGGTTGGGGAGAAATCTCAATTGCTATTTATTTGAAAGTGTTGTGAAGACCTAATCCTGAGGTTCCTGTGTAATACTGTCTTTCAAGTAATGGTACAGTAAGTTTACTGTACCTAGATATATTGTGTTCTAGATAAAATCCTGTACTGCACCCATCAGTGTAGCATCTCCAGGTACTTTTCAGACATTATTAATGTATTTCCATTTAAAAAATTAACCAGATCTTGTTCAGAATCCTCTGAAGATCTGTACTGTTTTGCTGTTTGAGAGTCTTTAGATGACCACCTTAAAAATCAAATATTCATTTGTCTGCACAATAAATGACTTGGAGCATTGAGGAAAATAGGTCTATTCACAGGTAGCTTGTGGAAATAGGAGGAGTAAGAATAGTCACTCAGAACTTTAGAAAGAATAGGGGAAACTTGGAAAAAGGACCTATAAAGGCTAATTTTTATGGAATTATCTTGTGCTGACTTTCTGGACATCAAGTTGCTTTATGCTAGAGCTAAGTGAAAAATTAGAATAAATATTAAAATAATCTGAAAACAATTCATTATCCTTGTAATAGTGAAAATTTTTGCCTTGAAAAATCTTCTGTGAAACATTCATTCCATGTAATTTTTGTTTATCAGTGTCTTAAATGTTGACAAAATAAATTGAAAAGTCATGTTTCAGAGGATTCCTCCTTGGGCTTTCTTGTTATGCAGTATAATGTCCACTGTCTTTTTTTTGGTGGCAATTTCCTGATCCTAAAAGATCTTATGCTTGAGAACCAAGCTGGACTGCAACAAATGCATGTTCTCTGTGAATACGGCACAGAAGGGAATTTCAAAGAGGTGCGAGCGCAGACGGCTGTCTTGGGATGATGTAAAGTTCTTATTCTGTCTTCTGGAAGTCAGCAGAGCAGCATGTGATGTACATACTACATCTCCTGTCCTGAAAACCTAGAGATACACTGTCCCTGCTTTACCATACTTTCAAATGATAGTGAAACTTTTCATTTAAGTGTCTCATCTGAAACATTTGAAAGAGTTACTGATGGGAGCTGTGAAATAAATTGGCCGAGTGTTGACTAAAAAAAATTAATAGAAACTTGAAAGTGTGTAATTGTCAAAGAACCTCTCTGGTTATGAAAACTGTGAACCTGAGTTCCTTTACCCACTAATGATTCCTGAAATACTGCCTCCTTTGCGGAAGGCTGACAGAAAAAATCTTGGGACACAGAACATTGTGTCTTAAAGTAATTGGCAGCTTTGCAGTAGTAAAATACAAACACAGCACACCAGGGTATAGCTTCTTGTATTTAATTCAGGGCTTAAGGGAGCATTTAACATGCTGAAATTTTGTGCCTGCATGCATCCTTATGTGAACCTCTAGCTGTTTCAGAGAGAGAGAAAGGCAAAAGTAACAAATACAGAAAAAGCATCAGCACAAAATAGGCTGATTGAATCAGGCATGACTGTAATTTTCAGACCTTTCTCCAAATTGTTGTTAAACTTCCACAACTAAAATAGTTACTACATTCAAGCGTAATTTTTCTGTCATCTGGAACAGCACTTAAAATACATTCCAATGTCAGTGTAAATCTAAGCCAGAGAATTTAGGTGATGCAAGGAGTCTTGGTCCAGTTCTAGCATTTGCCTACCTATAGAAATGAGCTAATGAACCTGTTCAGGCTCATCCCTAGAAAATTCTTACCCACCCAAGTGACCATCTCATAGCTCTTTGTCCAAGACAGAAGAATTTCCTGAAGAATAACAAAAGCGTTTTGTAGCTTGTGA